GGTTTCAAAGTGTGGTGCACCCATACAGGGCAGTTTCATTCTACTTCGTCACTGTCAACGTCTAACCAGCAGGAACCCTGAGCAGAAGAACTCCTGACCTCATCACCAGCACGGGGGTGGGGCAGCTGCCTTCCTCACCGTCTTCCCAGAGACCGGCCCTGAGGGCTGCCCCAGGAGGCCTTACCTCTCACACTTGTGCACAGCTGCGCTTTCCACAGAGCAGAGCTGACAGTGCAAGAGCCCCCTGCCCCCCGTGCCTGGGGCTCAGCCTTGCCTGCTCTACAGGCACAGCCCTAAGAACAGGGAAGGCGAGGGGTGCTTGGGCTTAATAATGGCACTGAGACGGTGATGTGCACTTACTTTTAGAGACTATAAAAATAGGTTCTTAGCAGCCTGTTTGACAGGACGAATTGAATGTGTGGGTGTGGTGTTCCATGAGGTGAACGTAGAATAATTGCAAAGATCTACCTTTTACAGGAACAGGTTCACAGGCTCCCGCGGGAAGGAAATGTATTGATGCTGGCCATGGCCGTTTCCTCATAGGAGCCATTGGGCTTCAACGTGTGCTGAGAGCTGCTCAGGGGCACTTGCTCTGGAGCCAAGGCAAACGACAACTTCCTCACTGATTTTCGTTACCTCAGAGCCTTCCAGAACGTTCCCATTAGGCAAGGCTCTATGTTAAATTAAACCCCACTCGCAGTAATTTAAGGGGACTGCTACACGGCTGGGATCTGAAGCAAGCACGGTAAGTTTGTGCTACTTAGAGGCTAATCTTTAACACACACATTTCTGCACAGGGAATGTTTCTGTTTTCACTGATTGTAAAGTCTGTTTTGTTTTCAATTTGTCTTCAGAAAGTTGGACCCCCCAGTCATCAGCCAAGTGATGGAAAAGTTCTGTCCCAAAAGCCACCTGTCAGATGCACAAGTCACACCACATCACTGCTGTTGGAGAGCCTGGCAGCAACACTGGCTCGCTGTCCTGTGCTTCCTCTCTGTTTTATGAAGTGCTTGACGCCTCCTCTGTGCACTGGACTCAGCAGTCACTTAAAGGGAGAGGAGCAGCCCTTGCTACCAAGGCCAGTGGCTCCCAGGGGTGTGGTGCCAGGCCATGGCCATGCCGTGTTGCACTTGGCTCCAAGAGCACAGTGCAGTGCCACCTATGTGCCCTCATCCTAGGAAGAGCAAAGAGCCCTGACCCTGCCCTGCCACCCCCGGCAGTGACATAGACCACGTCTCTCACAAAGGCACTGCCCAGACTTCTCACCCACAAAACAGTGGCTTAGTGGAAGCTCCTTTCAGTTGGTTAAGGGTGAACTAAGGTCCTACCTGAAACAGAGATGGCAGAGTTCATGAGCCAAAGTTAGCTCCCAAAAGGCAGTCTAATTCTGTGAATCTGGGTCCTAACAGAGTGAGATAGAAATGCTCACTGTGAGATTATTTCTTGGTAAGTGTTCAAAACTGTTACCACTCCCACTATTCTTGTCATAGCTACTGCTATGAATGTCACACAATCAGCCCTCACAGTCTCCGTACTGCCTGTAGGAGGCTGGTGCTAAAAGTCCCCAAATTCTCTATACCTTGTCCCATCCCTTCCCACACTGTCTTTTGCCAACCTGTTTACCCACTGGTTCTCTGCTCCTGGAAGTGGCATCCAGCTTCACGTTTTCATCCTTTTTCACATAATGTTCTCTGTCTGAAATGCTCTGACCTCCTCTAGCTGAAAAAGTCATGGCCCATCACTTAGGATCTGATATCCAGTGCCTCTCTAGAGCTTCATGCTTTGTGACTCCATGTCCCTGTTGGCTAAGATCATGCCTCTTCCCTAAATCACAAGGTAGTTAGCCACAGGCATTGGCAGCAATGGATCTGAGGAAGGAAGGAAGGAAGGAAGGAAGGAAGGAAGGAAGGAAGGAAGGAAGGAAGGAAGGAAGGAAGGAAGGAAACCTCAAATAGCTTCAGTCACATCCAACAACACCTTCCAAGGGTTATATGGTACACTCTCCCCAGGCACAGAGAGGTAACATGTCAGCATGAGCAGGTGAGTGCATCTACCCATGCCCTGACAGTCACAACTGGCCAACCCCAGCCCTCCCACAGTGTGCTGCACACTGCACAACGTGCCACAGCTTGGCCTGCACACTGTCCCAGAGAAGCCTGCCAACTGTGCTCAGAGTTAACTCACCGTGCTCCAACCCCAGTGTGCAAAGAGCAAAGCCAGTATGAGCCTCTTAATGCCATGTGTGTACACACAGGAGCTCAGCAGCGTCAGGCCCATGGGTGCCCACTCCAGTGGCAAGGGGCTGGACACCTCAGCTCACCATGAGAACTTCTTGCTGGCAGGTTGAGCAATGGACTGGCTGAGGGCTGGGGTGAGCTTGTGCACGGGGGCTTGCCAGACTGCCCCATGGAGTGAACTGGGGTAGCCAGGGAGGAGCTGCAGGATGTTTTGGCAGCCTGGATTGTGCAGCATTAGGAGCACTGCCCAGCAGGATATGGCCACCATCCCAACAATGTAATCTGTTTTGCGGCAGTGCCACTGAGAAACTGGGGCCACTGGGGTGAGGCTGCAGGCCAGCTTCATTCCCAGGCCAGCAGTGCTTCCCAGCCTGTGGGAAGTCCCAGGACCTGAAAGAGACTCCATGCAAACATTACGTAAGGGAGCTGCACTCAGATGAAGGAACACCAAGCACCAGGGACCTGATGCTGAGCCCCAGGTTGTTCTCCAGCTGTAGTGCAGCACCCTCCTGTGCCTGCTCAGAGAGGGTCACCAGCCATGTGTTTGAGAGGTTGAGCAGAGCTTTTCAGGGAGTTCTCCACATGCAAACCCATTTCCCAGTCTGGGCCGGGAACAGGTGGCCTGCAGGCTGCACACACAGCCATGGCTGGTAGCCCTGGCCTTCCATGTTTAGCACACATGCAGCATCTGCTGCTGTCACCACTTTTCTGTGTCTACTGCTTTCACCACTCACTTTGGCACTGGGCTCCTGAGATCAGAAGCCATGTCCTCCACTGCCTTTTGGCCAGTAGCACCCTTCCCAGAATGGGCAAATAACTTTCCCCCAGTCGTACAGAGGTCTGGAGCCAGCTAGCTTCTCATTTTGCCCCACAATGGTAGCTTCCTGAGGTTACTTACCTCTTAATGTCCAGCGGAGTGAGAAAAGTCTCCCAGCCCCATCAGAATGGAGTGATTTGTGTGGAAATACACATCCTGTGAGTGTACCATGTTGTGAGCTACTGAGAGCTGTTCACCCCATGTCACGCAGGACAGGAGCAAGCTCCAGACACTTTCCAGGACAGCTGTTTCCTGGCTTTCCCTTCTCCCTGGGGGTGATACTGTGTTCCAGAAAAGTCAGTCCGGATTTGAAACTGGGGAACAAGAAAATGAGGAGATATGGCTTCTTGCTTGCTGCAGGCGAGTTGCCAGGGGCTCAAGATCAGGGCTGGCCAAAAGGCAGGCTCTGCCTCCTGCTACATCAGACACAGAGTCTCAGGAAAGCCCCCATGCACCTTGCTCTGGAGCACTGCCTCTGTGCCCAGCCAGCCTGAATCCATCTTTGGACCCCCTCCAAGAAGTCCAGGTGGGGTCTGGTTTAGAACAGGAAGCTCTGAGCAGGTGCCTGTTCCCAGGGACTCTGGAGGGTGGGAATGTGGCTGCCCACTCTGCACGGGGAGTGGTGACCATCTGCCCCTTAGGGCACATGGAGTCTCTGCTTGGACTGGTCCTAGCCCCCACCCTGCTGTGGCCTCTACTTCCTCCACATGTGGTCTCAAATCCAGGGAAGCTACACCCCCTCCTAGGATGTGCCCACCAAGTCCAGTTTACCAAGCACTGGGCCAGGTGCTGGGAAGTGTGGGGTGACTCCTCATCCCACCAATCAGGGAGTCCCGGGACTTAGGTCATGTCTGGTTACGTTATTTGGGGGATGAGTGACAGGCAGCAGCAGCTTCTAGTGCTACCAGAGAACGAAACACAGAATCAGCAGCAAGTGGCCCCAGAGACCCCAGGGGACAAACTCTCTCTCCAGGGGGCGGGACCCACTCCTCACCAGTGGGCGTCCGCTGACCAAGCCTTCCGGGATATTGCTCAGCTGGAGGACAGTGGGAAGAGAGTGCCTGGCATCTGGTGGGCCCTGCCCACCAGCTAGATTTGCCCACTGGGAGAAGCCAGTGCCCCTGTGTGGCAGAAACTCTCTCCACCAGTGTGCCTCTCTCCAGAAGGCAGGAAACATGAACCACTCCCTGACCTTCCAGCCTCTCCAGCTGTGACAGTCTCACGTTCCTCTAGTTCTAAGGTCTCCACGAGAGTTGCATGGTGGGTGGGAGACCTGTCCAAAGTGCTGCTGATACACAGCTTCTCCTCCCTTGAGTAGGGTTGCAGGCCTCAGATGAATACCCACCTGGGTCCCCCTGAGGTGCCCATGTGAACATCCAAACCCTAGGCCCAGGCTATGCCATCACCTCCTCACCACCTCCCTCAAGCCTCCCAGGTGAAGAGCAGTTCCTTACCTGCCCCATCTCCAACTGCGTGAGGTCTCATCCAGGCACCTCAGACCCCCTGCTTCTCAGACCTCCCTCTTCTCCATGGTCCTCAGGGAGAGCCCTGCTGGGGCAGCTTGGACAGCCACCCAAACGCCACCTCCAAGAGCCCTGGAGCCCTGGGCCGGTCTTGTCCCTCGGATGGGTTCCAGTGTGCAGATATTCTGAAGGGGCTCTGGACTCCACACTTGTGTTACCTGAATGTTCCTGTCCATCAAAAGGACGTTGCCTTAGTGCCTGTCTGTGGACCATAAAGCTTTGCGACTCAGTAAAACTTTGAAGAGAACAGTAACAAAGAGGACTAAGGATGAGGATGCGCAGCCAAACCAAGGTGGTAATGAGCTGGGGCAGTCAGAAGCCACAAGCTCCTGCAGGCACATGTGGGGACACGCTGGGGGACCCTGGGTGCATTTGGCCCCTGTGTCACCTATGACATTTGATGCAGTTTCCTTTGAGAACAAGGCTGCTCAACTCGTGTCCCTCTACCTTCAGGTATGGGGTAGAAGGTTCTTGCTGAGTGAGACTGTGGTCCAACCGTGCCAACAAGAGTCCCACCCTAAAAGCACAACCTTCTCCTCAGGCTCACACTTCTCTCCTCTCGCACCTGGAGGAATCAGGGAGCTCCTCAGACCCATGGGCCACACCTGACTGGCAGAGCCAGTGTCGACGTGAAGAAGCACTGAACACAATGCCCGTTGCAGCTCACACACTTCCCTTCCATGGCAGGTGCTATGGCCAGGGCCCTCAGAGGATCCGGGGCACCTCGGGCAGTCACTGGCCGATGACAGAAACAACTCTGCTTGTCCTTGAAGCTGTCTAAGCAATGTGGTCACTGTTTGCTGGGGCACCTGAGGGGCAGCTGCTGAGGAGGGCTGAACAATTGGGAGCCCCGCTTCTGCCTGGAGAGGCTGCTGGACCTTGGGATGGTGAACACACACAGGGACCTGAGGACACAAGAGCTTTGAGCTCTGGGTGTGTTGCCAAAACAGTTCTATCAGGCCATTTGAGAGCTCACATGGTCTTTACACATCATTAAAACTGAATAAAAGTAACTTGTGGCATAACTGCCGTGTTCAGCAGTTAGGTCCCTCTTTCCCTACCAGGGCCATGAAGGCACTGCTTAGTTTCTTAAGCACTCTATTCCTGTGGCATCCTTGGCTTGGAGAGTGAGTACAGAAGGGACTGCTTCACTTAGCATCGGCATCAGTAACTGCCAGATCCTGCCAAGTGTTGGAGTTTTGTTCCGAGAACACTCTGTGATGAATTTTGATTCCTCTCGGTGGACTGCAAAAACAAGAGAGAGCCTAATTCAAAAGCTGTTTATATTAGTTATCGATCATTTTCTGTAAACCAGATGCAGTTTTTCTTGCATGTTAATTTACTCATGCCTTGAAACTCAAACCTGCTGGGGAAAATTGGCAATTTAAAAGGGAAAAAGAACAGCACCCAATTGTATGTGGCCACTTCTGTGCACAGGTAATATGCAAAGCTGTTCACACTTCAAAACTGTGAAGTGATTTCAGAGGGGCTTGCCAGCTCCAACACACTGCCACACACAGTTTCAGGAAGTCAAACAGCTTTGAAACACACTGTTCCGGCCGCAAGCTGTTAGGAACGCCAGGCGAAGAAGTCTCAAACCCGAAAGTATCATTTCCTGCTCTTCCCCCCAGTGTGGGTCCTGGCTGGATGACTTCATCTCCCACACAAAACCTGAGTCCACA